TGTAGATTGGCTTGTGTTGAGTTAACAAATCTTGGTTCAGCAAGGAAGGTGATATAGAAAAAAGTCACATACATGTATATGTACATGTATAATCTTAGCTGGTCATCACCAGTAAATCACAAGGCCTACTCTCTCAGGACTTTGCAGAAACAACATCACCTGCCAAGCCATATGGGGGAAAATTAAAAGAAAACAAAATACAGTTCTTTTTAAAAAAATCAACAAAACAATCCCTTCTGAGGAACCTTAACCTGGAAGTGGGAATTTTCATTAAAAAAAAAAAGAAACGATAAAGATACATCAGAAATTTGAAAAGAACCCCTAAAAGCTACCAGAAAATAGAATTCCAGAATCCATGTTTGGAGTTGAGGGGAAGGTGTGACTGTCATAATGTATTTACCCCTGTCAGGTGATAAATCAATGTCAGCCTGCGAGTTGGGTCTTGTGCCCGCAGTGTTTCGTATTCAAGAGCTGGTTTCTGGTTATTCGCTCTGGCGCGAGAGCGGAATATTTTTTTTATTTCACTTCTAGAACCAGCTATAGACAAATATTTTAAAAATTAAGTCACTCAACCCTACAGTTTCCATGAACGACTGGAAACTGAAACAATGAATGATTGAGAATGTTCTAATCAGGGCAAAGCCTCGCTATCGTTGCATTGCACTAAATTATAAATCCAAAACAATATATAAAACTTTACTCAAATATGGAAAAATTATAAGGCAAAATATTATTTGATGATATGTAACGACTGTAAGACACAGGTAAGTAACGTAATCTCACCCTGCATGCGTGCATTAGCGCACTCACGTCGTGTCGGTGTTACCAACATATGCTAAATAATACCGACCGTGACTGGATTACAGAGAAACTAAACGACTTACTGTAGCTCCACTTGTACCGGGGCCTTTTCCAGCACAGATTTGGTCGATCAACTTTTGCAGATCGTCTTTGTTTCCATATTTTTTCTCTGCACACAAGGTTAACGCCTTCTTGAATTGGCTGAAGTTAATTTTTCGATCGGTTTTGCTGCAAGGCAAGTATCAAACAAACATGTCTATAAAGCGAAATATCTCATGACAGTGTATTGGAGCAAGAGATTTTAGGGATTTGAAAGTCTTGAGCTCACCTCTTAACTTCTGGTCTGTTGAAGATTATATCCGTGTCAGTCTGAGTGAATTTTTTGTCGTACAACTTGAGATCGCGAAAAAATTTAGCAAACTTCGCGTTGTCCATCGTGGCCTGTGCGTCCTTGCTTCCTGCGCCAAAGGCACAGAACGACTTAAACACTGTTTCAAGCTCAGCATCAGACATTTTGAGTTTCAGGTAATATCACAGAAATAAGAAGCGATTTCTCCGTGGAAGTGCTGCAGGATTATGTGCAAAAGGCAGCTGACGCGCGTCCTTGCCAATTAATTCCACGACAAAGGAAACGAACAGACATTGGTCGATACTTTGTGTGTCACGAAAATTACAACGGTACCATAGTTACTGGTTCAAACAATCTAAGCTCTTCAGCGACAGGAAATGTTTGGTATAATTCAAGTGCTAAATAGAGAGTGAATACTATTATTTCACTTAACGATTATTTYATTTTTGACAACGTCTCAGASCTCCTTGCTTAGAGAACAAGTTAGAAGGTTTTATGAACCAGATAATTTGCATTTGTTTAAAACAGCAAGATCTGAATGCTCATTAATTTATAAAGTTGCTCTTTGCTGTCTATAATTAATGAAGCGATGCCATTTGCAAACGCCCCTTGGGTGTACCACTAAAACTGTTGGAAATGGGTCTATAGAGATAGAACATTCTATAGAAAAATGATCGGAACGACCTCCGGTTTCAATGCAACGCCCTCGGTGTTTACAGATGTTAAGCAAACAATTTATGTAAAGTTAATCAGCCGTTAAAAAAAGCGTTCCCAGAAAGACCTGAAAGAACCTGTAAAGTGAAAAGAATTTTTCCTGAGTCATCATCATGATCCATCATTATCATTTGGTTTGCCACAG